CTTTTTCTTTCTTTTTTCTTTTTTTCTTTTCTCTTTCTGTGTGTGAGTCTGTGTGTGTGTGTGTATGTGTGTCTGTCTGTCTGTCTGTCAGTGGTGGGTTTCAAAAAAATTTGGAACATCTTCTGTAGGTGTGGCCTGCTTTCCGGGTCCCCTGGTGGAACCTCTTCTAACTGGTTCGGTAGATTTGACAAACCAGTTCTACCGAACTGGTGCGAACTGGTAGGAACCCACCTCTAGTAGGATCCTACTGCATCTCTGAGGGTGTTTCACAGAAAACTACTTATATTTAACTTTCAATTTCTCTAACATTTAGCCATTTTACCAGAAACAAACACCCAATTTGAAGTCTTTAACACCTGCCTCTAGATTACAAACACACCATGCAATAAAAGCTTCTATCCATACTATTAAATAAAAATGTTCCGTCAAGTAAACCTTCAAAAGAATGTACAAAATTATCCTATATTTTACTGTCATGGAAACAATTAGAAATCTATTTTAGTAACTGTAAGACATTTTAAAAACTTGCATTTGAAAACAACTTAAAAGCATATCCCTCCGTGTCTCTCATCTTTTTAAATTAAAGGTATCTTTCTTGTTTAAAATAAAAGACACAGGTAAAATATTTTTAAAAGATTATTTATAAAGAAACTTCAAATACTCTGATAGAATAGAAGTGCTGGAGAAAAGCATTTAATCAAAGAAAATGAAGTTTTAAATAAAACTTATTTTTAACGTGAGAAAAAAATTGAGAAGAACTGTACAAGAAAAAAAACCCTTTCTGATATTTATTTATAGATCACAAGCAATTAATAGATTAAGGAAATTAATCTAATAAAAATATCTAATTATTATTAATATTTTTGCCTTATAAAAACATCTTGGACAACACTTAACAAGCCTGTGCACTGACAAATTTCCATCTATCAATTACAAAAGGCAACATTGTCTAGATCGGCACTATGCTAGCATGTTATGATGTCCTAAATTCTTGGGAAGAACTTGATGCTTATGAAGGTCAACATTAGCTAAAGAACTGACAGTTGTCACTTCACATTGTTGTGATAGGGAATAATGTTAAGCACCTTGGGTGCAATTCCAAAACAATCGAGAGTACCACTTGACCACCATCAACACTGACAAAATCACCACCAGTCACTTGCAAAAAGCAGCTTTACTTGGAACAACTTAACATCCTGCGACGATACCTCTAACACCATCCAACAACAATATCTGCCTATATCCCAGATCCTAGGGAAGGACTTGATAGGTGGATAAAAATTCCAAATCCAGTCTAAACATCTGGCTGACTGTGTGACCAACCTTAATATGTTAATCTAACATCTCAAGTTTTGCCTGATCATTTTAGGTATCAGCTGATCTATCTCTGCTTCAGTTCCACAAAAATCGAAGACTACATTCCTGTCTTCCAGTAAAATTCCAGGAAGATTTGAGATAAAATATCACCTATATTCCAAATGAGCTTTCTAGTTTAATATGCATTTATTCTCAGGCAGATAGTTTTCATCAATCTCATATTGCATCATGAAGTTTGTAGACTTAAAGCTGGGTAAACAAGTCAGCACAACTTTAGTCAGGGTAAAAATATTGTCAAAATGCTTCCCATTCAGGAAATGGACTACAATTATTCCTTAGCTGTTCCCTCCATCTGGAAGCTCTGCGCATGCACACGCTGGGAACAAGCTCCAGCTGTTCATCTGCCTCACTGTTGTCTGACTCCAAAGGCAGTCAACAACTGTCATACGACCCTGGCCCCCCTCTCTGCCTCTGATTCAGAGCATTCGTCAGAGCCTTCCCCAGACTCCAGGACTGGCACATGTTCCTCCCCAACCTCCTCACTGCCGCTGGAGGGCCACAAAAAAACCCTAGAGCAGGAGTGTTCGTCCTTGAAAACTTGAAGACTTGTGGATTTCAACTCCTAGAATTCCCCGTGGAGAATTCTGGGAGATAAGGTCCACAATTCTTCAAAGTGCCAAGATTGGACACGCCACCCTAGAGGATATCTCAATACATGTTTCTGAAAACGAGGGGGAAGAGTGGCCTACTGTTCTATAACGGAGGCAAATCAATCCATCAGGATACTTGAGGTAGCCTTCACTTCCCATGTTTAAGGTGACCCGATGTCCCGCTTTTGGCGGGACAGACACAATTTTTCAAAATTTGTCCCATATCCCGCGGTGTGTTCAAAAAGTCCTGATTTTCCAAAAGAAAGAAAAGACACCGAATCATCAATTTTAAAAAAGCCGCCGTTAAAAATAAAATTTCTCTGAAGTGTCATTCCCAATGTGGCCTTTAGAGGGCAGTGGTTTCCCTCCCTCCGCTCAGCTCGCTCGCAGCACCCGAGGGGCGAGGCTCCCTCCCCTCCTGCGCGTGTGTGCGCCGACGCGCAACATTTTTGCAGCCGTCCAGTGGCCATGGGCGGGGGGGGGCTTTCCGGCGGCAGCAGCACAGTGAGGAGGAGGCTCGGTCCTGGGCCAAGCGGCTCAGCCATTGGAAGCTCCTCAAAAGCACGGCGGAGGAGGAGGAGGAGGCAGCAGGGGTACACTTCATGGTTTTACAGCCCTCTTTTTTTTTTACAGCTCAGGTGCTCCGAGCCCCCCTCCCCTCCCCGGTCAATGGTGTCCCGCTTTACCCATCTTTAAATCTGGTCACTTTACCCATGTTCATCCATCAAACAGCAATTTTGACTCAGCCATGTCATCAATCAGTGAACCCATTGCTTAGGAACAAAGATGTGGATCAAACTAGCAAGAGCAAGCAGACAGCTTTGCTGTTCATACCATCCAACCTGAACTCTTGCTTAATAAGGTGGCTTGTGTGGTTGATGAAATTAAGAGGCCTACCATGGATGTTTTCACACTCTGCAGTAAGTGGTCATGTTGTTCTGCTATGGTCAAGGCAGCCGAGTGGACTTTCTGATAGATTGCCTCCCCATCTCTTGTCTGGAAGATGAATAGGCCTTCCCCAGTATCACACATCCTGCCAGAAAAAGAACAGAGTGTGGCTGCACATGATCAGAACAATTTATAATAGTGCATTCCTACAGCAGGGTCTGTCTCTGCTGGGGGGAAGAAAGGAGCAAGAAAGGATGAAACAAAAATAGCAGATAACAGTGTATTAAATTCAGGTGAATTTCTGCTTTCCCCATTTCTTGCAATGTTACCACATTTCTTGATGCAGAAGGTGATCCTGTTCCAATTTTATGCTCCTGTGTAGCTTTTCCATTGCAACGTATTGCTATGGAAATACATTTCTCTGCAGGTTTGGGTATGCAATTTTCTACAAGGTGTGTATTGACTGGAGAGCTGTACCAGAATCTGCAAAAATGTGCAAACATCTAAAGCTCCTTAAGAATCCAGTTTGCATATGGTGCTTGCATTAAAATTTAAACCGTGGTTATTAGTCAAACAGAGGTATCGCACATATATCCTTGGGTAGACAGATAAGCCTAAATAATTTCTACGTCTGGGGAATCTAAATAAAGGCTACACAAAGCACATTTAATGAAAATAAAAGCACAAAGAGAGAATAGTCACAATTTAAAGCTCATTTCTTTTCTGGAAGACTACTTTTTAATACTCTCAAACAATTCTCTTTCTAATGCTCTCAAACATTCTTTCCCTACATGACAAGATAGCTTACAACCCATTACTCCAGATATGGATTAGTAGAGGAGCAGAAGAATGCAGATAGTCCTCAACTTACAACCACAATTGAGACCAGAATTTCTGTTTGCTAAGCAAGGCGGTTGTTAAATGAGACCCACCCCCAAGTGATGAACTTTTCTTGCCTCGGCGGTTAAGCAAATCACTGCAGTTGTTTGGCGAATCGCATCATGATTAAGCAAATCTGGTCCCCCACATTGAACCTGTTTGTTGGAAACTGATTGGGAAGGTCACAAAAGGAGACCATACGATTCCATGACATTGCAACTGACAAAAATTTATGCTGGTTGCCAAGCACTCAAATTTTGATCATGTGACCCTGGGAATGCTGCAATGGTCCTAAGGACCAGGACCGGTTGCAAGTCCCTTTTTTCAGTGCAGTTGCAACTTGGAATAGTTGCTAAATGAATGCGTGTAAGTTAAGGACGGTTCCACCACAAAACCGCGCTCGACTAAACCGCGCCCGACTAAACCGC